CCTGTGTATGGAGGTCAAGAGTCACTGAACTTAACAAACCAAATTTGAATTCAATTATTAGTTCTAAAGGTTTTGAAATCAATAAAATGAAAACAGTGCCCAAATTTATGCACCTGCCTAATTTTGTTTAACCAGTTATTGCACACTTTCTGTAAATCATATAAACTTCATTTCACTACTCAAATGTCACTGTGTTTGTCCCCTATATGATATATTTAACTGATATTTTTAATCCAAACAATCAATGATTTATAAAGGTAAATCAGGAAAATTAACAAGCCTGCCCAAACTTATTCATATGACTGAAGACTGATACGTCCACCTCTACTGCTGACTGCAACCACACCTCACACACAGACACACACACCTGTGACAGGCTGACAATGCTGCTGTCTTCATTGAGGGCTTCATCCACAATCAGTCTGTTGGGTCTGTGTTTCTGCTTCAGGATGGCGGTGGAGAAATCTTCTCCCTTCGAGCTTCCAAACAAGAGACACACTGAGACTTTCACATGCACGCCCTGCACAACAAGATCTAGTTTCTCCATGTGACACAGTGCTGTATTTAGCTGTGACTCTGCACGTAGCAACTTTTTGTTTTGTTCAGCTTCAAAACATGGACTTTTCTACAAAGGTTAGAAGAAGGAAAATACAGGCTAGAGCTGCTGCTGCTTTAACTTTTGGTGTTTTGTCAAAAGATTTTTGCTTTTTGGAATTAAATTAATAAAAGTGACAGCTTGTGATGAGTTTAAGATGACCTTTGACCTCAAATTTTCTTTGTCCAACAGGTCATGCTGTAAATTATATTGGTTTTTGAGCTGGAAAAACACATTATTTTTAATAAACTTGAAATCTATCATTAGCACACATGTCCTGAACAGTCAATGTTAAAACATTGTATGTTTAAAATATAAAAGTATTTTCAGAAACATGCAGCTGTTTCACTCACTCTGCTCCTCCTGAGCCTGGCATGTTTCCTTGCCTTTTTCACCTTGGAGCTCCTAAATGTCTCGCCTTCTTTGTGTAGTTTCCAGTTTATTCAAGAGCTGAGCTCAAAGCTTACAGGTTCTGTGTGAGCTGATCGTCTTCGGTGAGTCTTCAGTCTTCAGAGCCCCCCCCCCCATCCCAAAGTTCCCAGCAGTCTCCAAATGTTTCATTTATTTTCAGCCTCCATGTTTGCTGGAGCTGCTGCCTGTCTGTTTATCAGAGGAGATATAAATATGCCCATTTGCTTCTCTGGCTTATTATAACTCCAGCGTGAGCACACACACACACACACACACACACACACACACACACACACACACACACAC